CACAAGAATTTCTGGTTTTTCAGTATAAAAGAGCATTAAAACTGACGGCATGTTTAAACTACATTTCCCCATTAAAACATTGATTTTAATTTCTAACAGACCCAAATGCAGCACTCGAGAAATCACGGAGTATTGGTAATGTACTTTATTGGTAATAATACCAGAGCAGAGGAATACAGGCAAACGAACCGGAGGACAGCGGGCAGAAGGTGAGTCAGGGCCGGGCAGAGGGTCAGGGAGCAGACGAGGCGGTCAACGTAGGTACAGGCAGGGTCAGACAGCAGGCAAGGCAGGATAGTCCAAGGACAGGCAGGATCAGGGATCAGGCAGAGCAGGCAGGGCGGGGACAGGCGGGGTCAGAACCGGGTAGGCAATCTGGGAACAAACGCATGAAAGACTAGCATGAAGGCAAAGTATGATCTGGCAACGGGTGTTTGTCTGGTGAGGGTTTACACACTGGCAGTGAAGCTAATGGGTGCAGTAGAGAAAGAGAGTGAGCAAAAACGTAGGTGTGGTTAACAGGTGAGATAGGTGAATGGAAAACTACTGGTGAATGATGGAGCAGACTGTGACAAATCTATTTGTATCTCCGTAGGTGAAACTTGGCTGCGAGGCACCCAACTCCAAAGTGGTGAAGGTGCCGGATGGCCTCGGGGGGGGCAGCAGTTTCAGTGATAAGACAGATGTGCCGTCTGGTGCCATGGCTGGAACCAGAGATGAGTGCAACCTTCTGGATTTTGAGTCGTCAGATCGCCCTCTGGTGGTCAACTTTGGCTCAGCCACCTGACCCCCCTTCATCAGCCACCTGCCAGCTTTCCGCCAGTTGGTGGAGGACTTCAGTGAGGTAGCTGACTTCCTGTTAGTGTACATTGATGAGGCTCACCCGTCTGATGGTTGGGTGGCCCCTCCTATGGGCTCCTGCGCGTTCAATGTCCAAAAACACCAGAACCTGGAGGAGCGACTGGGGGCCGCACGCAAACTTATCGAGCACTTTTCCCTTCCCCCCCAGTGTCAGCTGGTGGCAGACTGCATGGACAACAATGCTAATGTGGCTTATGGTGTGTCCAATGAGAGGGTTTGTATAGTGCAACAGAGAAAGATTGCCTACCTTGGCGGTAAGGGTCCTTTTTTTTACAATCTAAAGGATGTGAAGCACTGGCTGGAACAGAGCTATGGTAAACGGTAGGAGTCACCAGACATGTACAGAGGACATATTTACATAAGAGACCAGTACGTTTTGTAGACTAATAAAGACCAAATTAAAAAGTCTATTATTGTGATATCATCTGCAACAAAGCTGTTATTAATTCAGTTACATAATTGTGGCTTACTTTTCAAATCAGTCCAACTTTTTGCCCGGCCATCCACTTAAACTGGGATGAACACACACACATGTGCTAAAAAGTCACATAAACTAGGCAATACATTGATTCGGGGCAATGTATTATGACAGACAGTGTATGTGATTCATATGTATTTCTGCCCGCCTTTGCTTCTAAAATCCTGTTTGAAGTATTTTCTGTTGAAAAAAATAAAGGGCAGAAATCTCAAGTTACCAGTTTTTATCAAATTGGAGTTTATACTATTGATTGGAGATTTGATGTTTGTATTCACTGTCAACAACTTCATTGAATGTTTTAGGTTTATTTACCCCACTTCCTATAAGGCTAAATGTTCATAAATAGATACTGCCCATTGTTGACCATCGAACAGCTCTGTAGTGTCCCCAACCCCTAGAAAGGGTTTGTGTTTACTCTGTTGAATCAGAGTAGATTCCATGTGGCTTTTTTGACACTGATCCACACAAATAGAACAGTTGAACAAAATGAATTCCCATTAGCATTACTAATCAGCGGTGAATAATATAAGAAATGTATCAACTCTAATAAAAAACTGACATCCTGTCATTGATCATTTTAAATGTGCCCTGGGCAATACTGCTGTTTTTATTATCCCTCTATAAGGATGTAACAGGATCAATCTGAACATGCAGGTTTTTTTTGTCATGGGTCATGTCCGTCCTACAGTACATTAAAACACCAGTGATGATTTAAGTGTCTCCTATAAAGTTGTCTGAAACAGCTCCTTCACCTCTGCATGCTTCATACTGCAATGCATTGATTTAAAAACAAATCGGAACAGCATTATGTTTTCAGACACACTTTGTGTTGCATAGTAGTATGTACACTTTATTATTACAATCTTTGCTAAGGATCCTTTTTTGATTGCATCAGAACATTAGCATTAGCTTATTACAGCTGTATTACTTCACACACTGCAGAATAATGTGTAGCTAGCAATAAATCCCTAAGATTGTATTGGCAAAGTGGTCAATACCACTGACGGATCAATTTAATGTTAGATTCATTTCCTGGATAAAACATTTCTATCCAGAATACATGCATGGATTTAAAATGAGTGTACTGTTATGCTGTATTAAAACAAAAAAAGTTGTTCTTTAAGGTTCAGGCATTATCTAAAAATATCGCCACAGGGTGGGAGAATGGTTCTTGATGTCCGCACTTTCCTTAGACATACATATATCAGGACCTTATTCAGAGTGCTTTGGACATTATTTTAACCCAACTCGGTTCTTCTTTGGGCTCGAGGTTATGAAGTGACATGTGAAGACCTCTGCTTGTCATGTTTTTTAAAGAAGGGTCAATAAAGATGCTTTAGACTTCCAAGAGTTTAAGTGATAGCATTTGAGTTCTATAGGACACACAGATGGTTTGTTCTGCTCGCAGTGACAGAGGTGTGCTGATGAAAACCTCTGACGAAAGAGTCCCTGACTCGGTCTCTGGTTGGATAGTGAACTGCACCTGGTCAACATCACAGAATCATTGCATCTGTTTCGTTGTTAACTTAACTCATGCAGACAACTGTCTTTCATGTCACCAGTTGCACTTTTTCATTCCTGCTTAGTGCAATGTTTAGATTGTCGAATAAGAAGAAAAGGAAAATAAATAAAGTGGAAAATAAAGCTGCTGAAACTGCTGGGTTTGTTGTCTTTATGTCCCAAAGAAATCACAGATGTTAGAAAATTGGACAGGTTTATCTAATTGTGCCATAACTACTGCCAAGTTTCTCATTCTTACAAGGAAGTATACAACCTCACAAAAATATGAGTAATATCTCACTCATGTCAATGAAACGGGTGGAACAATCCAAATAAAAGAAGAATATTTTATATTTTAATCAGTTTTCTATGAACATTGATTGAATTGAATTGAATTGATTGAATTTATTGAACTCTCTAGTCAATAAAATGATAAACGTTGGCATTTGTATCTGCATCTTCTTTAGTAATGTCCCTGCACTCTAACAAGTAGTCTTAACAAACAGCAGTGGGGTGTGCATTGTATAAACTGAAGACTTACTTTGCCCTTTATTAGAAAAAGAGGAAAGAAATATCCTCCACCGCAATGTTTTGGTTAATAAACAAATAATCGATATAATTAAATACATACATAGATGTGCAGCTCTTTAACAGGGACATTGACAACATGTGTCTCCTTAAAGAAACACTGTCATTGTTACACAATACACTCAAGCAACACCAATACCAACATGACATTGTGTTTGTAAAAGTATCATTTATTTTGTGATGGGCATAAACTGAGTTTCCATAACAACAAAGTTGTATTGGTTTTGACCTATTTGCATAAAATATTTCCTGTTACATTGATATTAAACTAGAGTAATTCCAGTAATGCAATACCAGACTATACATATTCACTTGTATAAAATTGCTCCAGATATAGAAAAACAAAACTTATTTTGTCTTTGACCAGTTGTCATCTCATCACACCTTATTTCCTCTCATTTTGTCCAAAGGAGACATTTGATCGTGAGGTTTCTGGTCATAAACTTTCCAGCTCCACGATAAAAAGGAATTCCTCCGTGTCGTTGAGGGAAAAGTGACACCTTCCTGTAAAGAGCTGTAAATGACTCGGGTGACCGGAAGAGATCAGATGAAGCCACATCGTCCAACACAATCCCAGAAGCTTCTGGATTACACATCAGCCGCTTCCTCTCCTCAAGTGCACAGCTGATAGCACACTGAGTATCTAACACATTACACATGAGTGAGATTCATCATTGCAGCATCAAGTCACTGAAAATAAGAACACTTTATGACTCCCACTGCTATCCAGCAAGACTCGTACAAAATAGTTGAAAGGATGAACAGACACAAGCAACATGAATTGTGGTCACTATCCTAACTGCCATCAATAACAGCTTGGCTCGGCTGGGCACACTTCATGATACATTTTTAACACTAGAACCGCCAACGGGTAAATTTTAACCGCAGCTGTTTTTTTATTGTATGTAACTTTTTTTCCACAACATATTAAAGTCTCGCAGTCCGTGACTTTTCCTGAAAGTGTGTTATATAGCACCCTCTGTTGTTAAAAATGGTCAATAGGAAGTCAGATTGAAAAAATCGCCAAATAAATTGCCATTTATACCCATATCCGCCAGCAGGTAATATTTACCTCATAGAAAATGCAGCGTAAACATGACGTGTTGCTATAGCAACGCCTTTTGTCTACTGTGGTTCCTTATGGATAGAGAGAGAGATTGAGAGAGAGAGAGAGATAGATAGATAGATATATTGATAGATATAGAGGAGAGAGAGAGAGAGAGATAGATATATAGTTATAGATAGTGTAACATCTTGGAGAATACAACATCTTGGATGACTGAGCTCACGTTGAGGACGTAATGCATGTGTGCAGGTTACGTGCCAGTTGAATAAAGATGGACACTCGGAAAGAGAGAAGTAGTCCGCGTCGTCTGTTTATGTAGACAATTATATGTCCATAGAACAGAACATTACAGATGGATCGATAGATAGTTAGAGAAGATAGAGAGATTTGTATCTAAACAAAACACAAGTCTAACACCAAGCGTTTAAATCAGCACTCTTAGCGATATTTTAAACTTCATGCTATCTGCACAACCTATATCATATGAAAAGCTGAGAGTCCACAGATTCTATTGGTATAAGTTTCATCCCTGTGTGATCAAACTATAGGTTACTTACGTAACCCCAGTTCTCAGAGTAACATGAAGTGAGATGTCTCACTATGGGATGCGCCTCAACGCGTATGCACCAGAAGCATCAATCTCATTACGCCAATCCTGATTGGCTGGTGATCTTGACGCCAACGTCAGGGAATCCACCAACCCTATAAGTAGCTTGCGCCACGACGCAGGCGTCATTACAAAATAAGCACCTCTTCTCGCTTCGCCTCAGCAAGGAAGGGCCGTCAGGTGAGACATCTCACTTCATGTTACTCTGAGAACTGGGGTTAC